TACAACAAAAAATAATAATATCAATACATATTTATACAACAAATATAGTCTTGCATTTCATAAAATCAATTGAAAAAATATACAGTATATACTGTATATATACATATCAACAAATGCACCACACAAAATAAATATCTATTATTATCATTTGTATCACTATGTAAATTCTATGCTAATGTAATGATAAATAAAAATGAATATAAAATTTATTTTACACTAAAAATGGTTTATACGATAGGTTTTATCATCAAAATAATATAATATAAATATATGACCCAAATTTTGGATCTAATAATCATAATAATTGGCCTTTATCAAAAAATATAATAATAATAATAATATAATTCTATTGATATTCATTAAGATAACATAGAAAAGTTGATTTTATTTTTTTAAATATATTTATTTTTTCTTAAATATATTCAAATGCATTCAATAAACATAAGTCTGACCATTATTTGTAACCATTAAAAATCATTGCTTGTAATATACTGTAGTATAATATACTATACAATGTATATACCAAAAATATAACCAGTAGTATAATGTTAGCGACAATTATGAGAGTCCAATATTTTTAAGATTTATGTATTTTTATTATTATTATTATGATTTTTTTGATAAGTAGTTTATTTTATGAATGCTTTTTTTATATGGCATGTGTTGAGTGAGTAAGTGAGTGAATGAGTGAGTAGTTGTAGTTTAGGAGTTATAAAGGCCCGCAAAAAAGCAATGGACAGCAAAAATATTATACATATAAATAACATACAAATCATTATTCATTAAAAACTAGAGTTTTTCTGAACTGAAGTCAAATATATCATAAAAATTATATTTCAAAGTTTGTATTGTCAAAGACGTTGATCTCATCTTATAATATATATAAGCGCATTGAATGACTACTACTACTACTACTACTACTATGACTACTACCACTACTACAGGCTTTAAGCTCTCTCTCTCTCTCTCTAAATGACAATAGCTTTCCGGCCTTTACTTATTTGTTAGGAAAAAATGCTTTATATTTTGTTATAGAAAATGTGTTTTTCTCAAGTTTTTCCAGTATTTTTTCCAATATATATTTTTTGAGGAAATTTAAATCCAAACACAATAGTAAAACTATTGGTCACTTTTGTCAAACATATTGATTCAGATGATGGTTTAACAACACATTTTGTTCATTAATTTTATGTTTTATTCAAGAAAAATACTGTATATATACTATATATTTGTAATGTAAATGAATTTGGATTAAGTTATTTGGATATAATTTAAAATTATTTAAAATTCAATAAAAATAATAATTTATTCAGATATATAACAAAATGGTTTTCAATTCAAAAAAAAATTAATTTATCTTAAAAAATTCAAATTTGTTATAAAAATATAATTTTAATTTTGAATGAACAAGCATAATTTATATAAACTTTTATTAATAAATAATTGTTTGACCATTATATTTGTTTATTCTAATATATATATAAAAAAATCAATCATTAAAAAAATGTAAATATTTAATTCAATTTGAATAAAAATCAAAATTTTTCAATAACACAATGAATAATAATAATAAAAAAATATATTTTCAAATAATAATAAAATGCCACAATGAGTGTGCAAACATTTTATTATTTGCTTTTAATCACAATAATAACAATAATAGTATTAACATAGTAAATAAAAACAGGAATCGTGTGAATAATAAGCAAAATGTTTTTATCACTCCTATCGCTACTCCTTTATGTATATATATATATATATATATAGAGGTATTCATTCATTGAAAAAAAGTTTTGACACTTTTTTGAGTGACACTTAAGAGACGGATCACCCGTTTGTTGTCAAAGGCACCAAACACTTTGCCGATACAAATACTGCATTCAATGAAATGGTAGCAAAATATCTATAAAAAAGGGGGAAAACCACTCTCAAAATACCTTTCAAAACATGTTTTCATTTATCACAAAAAATATTAATTCACTAATTTTTCTAATCAATTATTAGTATTACACTTAGAATTAAAAAAAATGTATAAATCAATTTGTAGTAATTTATAACTATATTGATTAATTAATATTTATCGATAAATGTCATTACTTAATAATAATAATAACTTTAATGTTATCATAATTTGTTTTATCATATATTATAGTAAATTATCAATTTGTGACTAAAAATAGTACCTTTATTTGCTGTATTATTCATATTATTACAAAATAAAACTATCACCTAAATATTAATCTAATATAAAAATAGTCTATAAATAATTTTCAATACAAAGTAAACTTATTATGTATTTAAACTTATTAAATTATATTCGACTAAATTATTTATAAATTAATTAATGATTTATTATGATTTAGTAAATAGTATTGTATAAGGCATTAAAAAATACTGTACTTTAATATATTAATTGTTTATTATTATTATAAATTATAATATATTCAATTTTATTAAACTTAATAAAAACATTTCCCTCAATAATCTTTGAATTATGACTGGTGTTTAAGACCTTAATTAAATAGTTTATAACAAAAATTATATTAAATTATTAAATCATAAAAAGCATTGATTTCAGTATTATGTGATAAAACGTGTATTAGACGATAAACTACTTATTTAATAAATGTTTTCATCCATTGAATATCAGGCAATAAAATTAGTAACTATTTTATGATGGCTATAATAAAATATAACAGTATATACTGTAATATATATTATTGGAAAAGATTAACTAATAGTCGACAATATTATATATATATTGAGACAATAAATTATTGCAAAGATATATAATAAAATAAAATTTCAATTTCATAACTATAAATACTGTATTAGTTTCATTAAATTATAGTATATATAAGTCATAGTAAATAAACACATTGACTATTGTGTGTTTCTACTGTAATATTATAATAAACACGTTGGCAATGATCCTAAAATATGGATCACTTGTAAACTATAAATATATACAAAATTGACATTTTATGTAATATTAAACGACTCTTATCTTATAGTTTGCAGTATTTTGATCAAAGATTTTTGGAGTTCACAGCTTTGTAAATAAAAATTCAATTGATATGATATGAGGCAATACATACATAAATACGGATAAAGATATATATAATTTATTTATACATACAATATATACATAGAATAATATATTATAAAAATTGAAAGACGCGTGGATAGAGTGCTGTCAACACACTAGTGATTACAAAATTTTATATATAATAACAATATATATATAAATCTGTAATAAAATGCTTAACGAAAAACCTAAATCAAAGACAAAACAGATACTGATATGATATAATATAATATATAAATACATATATATTTTTTTTCTTTATGTTCCGAAACTAATAATAAAATACTGTATTTAACACAATAAAGAAAAGATTTGTTAGACATTTTTTGATAACACATATAAATAATAATAATTTGCACAACGGTTTGCTCTGCATATGCAATACAAATCCCTATTTAAATAAAGGCATTACTTGAATACATAATGTSTGTGTGTGTGTGTGTGTGTGTGTGTGTGTGTGTGTGTGTGTGTGTGTGTGTGTGTGTGTGTGTGTGTGTGTGTGAACTATATATTGATATTTATACTGTTTATATGAAAAATTTTTATTATAACATTAGCGTTTAAACTTGTGCACAACCAAAGTGCAAATTGAATTTAATATACAATATTTATCAGTAAATAAGTTTAAACTTTTTATTTTATTTGGTTCATTCAATTTACTACCTTTTTTGTGTGTACAATATTTTCTCTATAAGTCATAAAAATAAATTTAATATTTAAATACTATAAATTAAAAATATGCAAATTTCACTGAATTTATATTGTATTTAAAAAAAATAAAAATTGTATAATAACTTATGAAAATATATAAATAAATTTTTATTATAGTAAATAACAAGATGGCAATTGATAAGATGTGTGTGTGTATGTATGTGTGTGTGTGTGTGTGTGTGTGTGTGTGTGTGTGTGTGTGTGTGTGTGTGTGTGTGTGTGTGTGTGTGTATGTGTGTGTATGTATGTATATGTTTGTGTGTGTTAAGGAATGGTAACTCTGAAGATGATATTTATTCAAGTTATTGAAGTCTCTCTCTCTCTCTCTCTCTCTCTCTCTCTCTCTCTCTTCTCGCTCTGGTGTACAGCCATAGGCACACATTGGCCATAGGCATCGGGTATATACATAAGCGCAGGTGTGATTCAAATGGGATTGCATTCACTTTTAGTTTAGTAATAGTTTTAGTGATAAAGAGAGAGAGAGAGAGAGAGAGAGAGAGAGAGAGAGAGAGAGAGAGAGAGAGAGAGAGAGAGAGAGAGAGAGAAGATACTATAAGGCAATAAAAATGATTCAAAAAACTACACGTGAGCTCCAATAAGACTCGTGTAGAACGCGTGCCCGACAAGACTGAGCCAATTTAGACCTGAGCCCAGATATTTCATTGACTAGCATTGAGATAGAGCGAGAACCTGGTGCTACAGTGCCAGGTGCGACACATCAAATCATGTTCAGTACTATTAGTAAGACAGAGAGAGAGAGAGAGAGAGAGAGAGAGAGAGAGAGAGAGAGAGAGAGAGAGAGAGAGAGAGAGTACTTGTTGTATATAGATTTTACCCCCATTTTTATTTTACATATAATATAAGGTTTATATATATTATATTCAGACTAACAAAAACTATTCACTATTACTGATAAAAAACTTTTTTGAGGGCGTATTTGGCGCATGAATTGCAATCAAGTGTGTGTATATATATGTGTGCCGTATGCTTATGTTGGTGGTGGGTGCTCTTAATACATAATAGGGCAAAAGTTTTCGTATTAAAAGCAAAAGTAAATTCAATTTATTGTAATTTAATTTAATGTATTCACTTATTTTTAAAAAAAAGCTTAATACACATTTATAAAAAAAATTATTCAAATATACATTTTTCGGATCCATAGATTCAATACAATTTTTTACATACATTGTAGCACATATACATGTACCGGTATATATCTATCTATATATCAAACAATAACAATGGTGTGCCGGTACCCGTAACGTAAGTGCTATTTACATATACTGTATTGATGGTGGTGGTGGTGGCGGGTAAGTGATTAAAAAATTAGACACAGAAAGTGGGAGGTGTGTACTGTCCCCCCTTCATCTATATCCCCCAAACACACACATACTAGACTAGTGTCTAAAGTTATGTTAACTTTATACTGTATTGGGACAGTTTATTTGCACCGAAAAAATAAAAATCAAATAAAATTGTTGGTCAACTCCATACTAAAACCCCCCGCAAATATGCGAACAAATATTGACCATACATTTAGTGGTCATTTGTTTTCATATGATTTTGTAACTGTTAGGTCTTTATTGTCTCTTTCTCTTTGACTACCAGTGCCGACACATAGCATAATCTGTGGCAAAGCTATATATATATATATATTCAACGGCCGAGTTATGTGTTAACTCTATTTGTCTAATAATTTTTGAAAAAACCAATACAACAAATACATTGCATACAGGTTTATGTAATGAGTTGTTAAATAAAAACAATTGACTGCTTTTTAAACACCTATTGTGTTTGAGTTTACCTTTCAGTTATGTTGTGTGAAAACATTGATTTTTGTTGTGTTTTAAACATTTTATTATTTCTATTATTTTTCTAATTGTATTCATTGCTTATCGTTTTATTAATATTTTCTGTTATTTTTAGTTAATATTATTTGTTTTAATAAGCGTTAAGTAAAACAAAAAACTCTTTGAAGTTTTCTAATCTATTATTTTCTTTGGAGACAAGACTTATAACAAAATAACATTTAAAAAAATTGGGATTAATTAGCAGTTTTACGACATTTAGTAAAACAAACATTTGTTATATTATTATAATATAAAGTAGACATAAAAAAATATAATTTTTGATAACCAGATAATGTCAACTAAAAACAATCATAAATTATGACCAAATAAAATGAGAGATAAATAATAATAATATTATAATAATTCTCTAATCTCTGTTCTGCATTTGTTTTATTGTTATATATATATAATAAATTGTATTATTTAAATACAGTATTAAAAATACAACAATTTTTCATTTAATAATTGGATAATTTTACTACAATGACATCAAACAAACTGTTTTATTTTGTTATTGTTGTTGTATTCATAAAAAAAACTTTTTTTTTACAAAGTCTACAGTATATATGATTTAATTATATCTAAACATAAATTCATATTATTCTCACCTGAATAAAGATTTATTTATTTATATAAATAAATATATATATATTTAAACTTTTATATTCACTTTAACATTGTATATACCATTCAAATAAATAAATATATATTTGTATGGCTCTCTTTTTAAAAAAAAGCTATAATTGCTGTTTTTTGTGACTAAATTGTGATAAATTTCCAAAATGTAGTTATGAGTGACAATCTCTCTGTGTATATGTGTTATACTTATGTCATATGATCTATAATTTTATTTTTGTATTTCATTTAATAGAAAAAAATCTTTTAAAAATGTATTGCATGTCTACTCAATATAATGCAATAAATGCATTGAAATAAATGCTATAAAACGAATGCTTGGATTCAAATACAAGTACTTCTCTTTACAAGTCATTGAAAACATTAGGAGAGAGAGAGAGAGAGAGAGAGAGAGAGAGAGAGAGAGAGAGAGAGAGAGAGAGATTGAAGTAAAGCTATCTTTTTAGCAAAAACAGTCTCTCTCTTTCTCTCATTTTGTGTTTCAAAAAAAAAAATTTTGCAAACATATAGAGGGAACCCCCGTAGAGAAACGGGACAGAGAATAGGCACATAACGACGTGAGCCCCGCATAACTGGCTGTAAACCAGCCTTTTTGAGAGCACGCGAACGAATAATTGACAAAAGAGTCGCTCAGCCTATGGAGTATAGGAGGAGCTATCGGTGCCGACTCTCTACTACTCTATGTGTCTGTTGGTATATCTCGCAACTCTCGGTCCGACCAAAAAAAACAGGTATTAAACATTGGAAAGTCAGCGATCAGGTACTCAGTCAGTAGTACGTAGCCGTCGTGTTCACAACAGTACATTTGAAAAGAGACTGTGAATTCTCATCCCTGAGCCCAGCAAAAGCTTATATACTGTATATGTAAAGCAGTCTTACATTTTGATGCTTTTCATAATACAAATAGAAACATATATTGAGTTTCTCTATCCATATATCTATTGAACACAACCTGTTGTTGACAATTGGCTTCACATATACTTCAGTATATCCTCGCACGCGAACAACACGTCCTAACTTTAAATATATTCAAACTTTTTATTATTATTATTATTATTATTATTTGGACAGTTGTCTTGTGTTTGATTTTTTTTAAAAACTAAATATTTTATTTAAATTTGAAAGTGCTTTTAAAATAATCAATATTTTATTACTTATTTAAATATAAGTAATAGTTTACAATCAAAAAGTTATAATCACAAATCATCCGAATTAAAAAAATCATGTCATTTACATCAATCAAATTGGAGTCGTCCACATCACCCGTCCATCACCACAATTTGGTGCCCATCACCACTGCTCACACCATTACGCAGCCAACTATAAAAATGCAACCACTTTTAGCTAAAAAGTCGAGTCCGTCCTCATCAGCGGCCACAGCCGCAGCCGCGGCAGCTATGATGATGAGCTCTGGACATATGTCGCTGTCGACAATGACATCGACAATGTCCACCGCATCGATGACAATGGCAAACACAACATCGCCAGAACTGTTACGATGCAAACGGCGCATAAATTTTGCTGGTCTCGGATACGCCATACCGCAGGCACAGCCGGCAACAGTTGCCCGAAGAAATGAAAGAGAGCGGAATCGGGTGAAAATGGTTAACATGGGTTTCGCAACACTCAGACAACACGTACCAAACGGTGCCAAAAACAAGAAGATGAGTAAAGTAGAGACATTGAGGTCGGCTGTCGACTATATCAGAGAATTGCGTGAATTGTTGGGCGAAAATGACGACTTCTTGCCATCGGAAGCGTAAGTTTTATATAATAATTATTTTGTTTTTTTTGTTTGTTTGGAAAATATATTAAAGTAATGATATTTATAAATGATTGAAACTAATGATCAAATTTATTTTCTTCTGATTTATAAAAAACACATATCTTATAGTCAATTCTCGCAAATGCAATGCAGTAGTAGTGATGAAAACTGGAATCCCAGTCCCGCAGGCCTGTCGTCAATGTCGCCGACATCCATGAGCTATACGTGCGGTTCAACTATCGGCTCGACGATAGGTATGCGACAAACGCCACACTCGCCGTCCTCTCCCATAATGACAACGTCGTCTCCGTCGCCGAGTATGGGATCCGATGCCTCGTCGCCGTACGACTCGTTAGACAGTATGGAAAGACAGGTCTCGCCTGAAGAAGAGGAACTCTTTGACTTTACAAATTGGTTCGCATAATAATGAGGTAAACAACAAAATTTGTTTTTTATTTTATACGATATTATTATTATTTAGTTTTGTACGATAATTATTATAATTACCAATAGATTAGTATAGCATTTAATATAGGGATTGCATGAATGAAATCGTTTATTTTTTTGTGAATGAAATTAATATTATTATTATTATTACTATTACTATTATTTCAAAAATTGAGTGTTGAGTTAAATGAGTGCCAAAAAAAAATTGAGGACAAACTTTAAAATTTTGTTGTGAAACTCGCGAAAAACTAAATGAGCGGAAACAGACTGACCTTCGCTTCTTAAAGAGAGAGATTACAAGTGCTTTCTGTCAGAGAGAGAGAGAGAGAGAGAGAGTCAGAGGAGGACTTGTCTTGAAGACGACGATCGGCACAGATATGATATTGATATGATAAGCTCTGTATTACACATACATACATATATATAACACTGTGACAGACATTGGGAAGGGAGGGGGAAACTAATGGTTAGATAATAAACTTCTTAAAAGTTAAATATCTTTTAGAGGCTGTATATACTGTATATCTGTTGTTAATCTTTGCGTTTATTATATGGTATCACTTCTGTTACCATCAGAGCTGCGATTTGAGAGCCGGAAAAAGTGTTTTCCGGAGAACAGTCACTCAATAATGTAATGAAATTATACTATTTTTTTAGTTGAAATACTTTTTTGAATGAGAAATATAAAGCATACAAACAATTAAAGTTTTTACTCTTGACTGACTGAATGACTGACAATACATTACTGTATATATAATATAGTATAAGATTCTTAATCATCGTATAATATGCTATAAAATAAGTAAAAAACATATATAATGAAAAACTTTTGTGTATTATTTTTTCATTATTCATATTATTTATTGCTTACACTTTTATTTTGGACGACAATACCTATAGTGTGATTGTGATCCTCATTTGACAGTGAATTAGATCTGATTTTCTTCTTCTACTTCTTTTTCTAAATTTCTTTCATTTCTCTCTCTCTCTCTCTCTCTCTCTCTCTCTCTCTCTCTCTCTCTCTCTCTCTMTCTCTCTCTCTCTCTCTCCGTGTGTTAGGTTTGTCCTAACAATTACTAAACAAATTCAGACAATAGTATACATACCCAAACACATAGATATATATATATATATATATATATGGTATATTAAGAAGGTATTCATAACATGAGCCGTGATATAGACGATCCCTTATACACACCAGTAGTAGTAGTAGTAGTAGTGAACATACCAATAGATTAGGAAAGTTATGTGAGAGATTGAGTGATTCCCTTATATATGATATTATATTATATGTGATATATATTTTTTTATCTCTCTCTCTTGAAGTCTCCGGACTGATAGAAATCACTGGTTGTTGAATACCAAACATACATACATTTTATTATTATTATTGTAATGCAATGCCATCGCACGCGAGCGTACAGCTCAAGCCATACAATCATACAGTATATATGATATCTGATTGTAATGTTTTTTTCGGAGACACCAGTAGTAGTATTAGTAAAGCTTCACTATTACTATATATATGTATAAAAACTCTTTTGAAAAAACACAGAAATGAGATGAGAGGGGGCTCTGGACTATTGGGGGGCACTTCTCTCTCTCTCCTCTATTCTCTCAATACTATATACAGTATATATATCTTCAATGTCCTTTTCATATGTACTGTATGTGTATGTGCCATGTATGAGCCCCTAGCCCTGTGCTCTCAATGTAATATACAGTACCCCGATATGCGATTCAAGAGTACAATACTATTTTTGTGTGTCCTTTTGTGTCATTATAAGAGAATTTTCAAAGTTATGGACATTTTTTTGTTGAAAAACTATTTTTCTTAGCTATTTTGAAACCATACACAACATCTCTAAGACTTAAACAAAAATACAAAAAAAAAATTTTGAGACATCACTTTACGGATGTTTTTACAATATATATATATTATATATATTACTTGCTTTTGTATCTATGAATACATTTTGCTATAAATATATTATTTAATTAACTTATTTAGTAAAACCATTTTTGTTTGTAAAACTTAATTTAAAATTTTATTAAAGTGATAAATAGTGTGGAAATATCTTTAGTATAAACTAAATTGATTAATTAAAACATTATTGTAATTTGAAAAATTATATAATTGAGTTTATATTAGCTATGTTTAAATTTTATAATAATAATAATAATATTTTTAAAATTAGTAGCATTTTGAAGGCTATTTATAAAAATAATTTATGGTATTTGTTTGTTTTCATAAAAATGTTGTGAACTATACTATTATACACTTACACTAAGACCAGAAAATAAATCAGTGAAATAAACTGAAAAACTTTGTGAATATCAAAGAGAGAGAGAAAAAAAAGTATGCGATTTCAAAGCAAACAACATATATAACAACATTTACCTGTAGTTACCTGTATATAGAAAAATATATGCGATATTGGATTCTTAGACATTCCCAGAGAGCAGTGCAACAAAAATACATGGCTTATGGAGAGAGAGAGAGAGAGAGAGAGAGAGAGAGAGAGAGAGAGAGAATGGAGAAAAACATGAATGGGTTGCTTAGGTGTGCACTTACAATGTTGGACTGTGTGTATGTGTGTGTGTGTGTTGGGGACAATTACACTGTGATGGGAGCTAAGGTGCACCACCACTACCTAGTATTCTACCTGCAAATATATATATATATATATAATCTATTTGAATACTTTTTGAGAGAGAGAGAGAGAGAGAGAGAGAGAGAGAGAGAGAAAGACCTGAGTGAGACTGAGGCACTTGTTTATCCATAAGAGTGACTTACAATGGATGGTATGGTTCGCAATGGAAGTGCATTTTCTCATTGAATAAAGAGTCAGAGCCTAAAGATTTCCTTTTTTCGTCTTATTTAAGTCCGATTTCCCACCCATTCCTTCTTTACCAGTCGATTACATTGGCATCAAATGTTGGAAAAAATAGAGAGAGAGAGAGAGAGAGAGAGAGAGAGAGAGAGAACAGGGAGACACAAGAGACGCCCAAAAAGGAGCACTACTACCTGGCCTTCAATATGAGACAGCAATAGGGCTTATTATATGCACCAAAAAATAATGCCATAACTTCTATATAACTTATGGACTCAAAACTATTCAATAATAATAATAAATACGAGAGTCGTTGTTGTATTCAATTTACAACTTATAATATTTTGCCAAATAATATACACACAAAAATCATTTACTATTTTATTTTTATATAAAAAAAAGTTCAACATTTCCTGAAAAAAAACTTTAAATTTTTTCAACAGAAAACATTCAAATAATTAATGTTTTTTTTCGCTTATATTTATAAAAATCTAAATCAATTGTTTGGTTGTTTTCGTTAAAAATAAAATAAAATTCACACAAATTTGGTTTTTACATAATATCTATGAATCAAATCGTTAATATCCATAATATACTAAAAAGAGTCGAGGAATAGGAGAGACATAGAGACAGAAATAAAAAGGGAATAACTATTTCACGGGTTTGGGATCTCTCTCTCTCTCTCTCTCTCTCTCGAGGTTTTTAGGCGAGGTTTTTGGGGTTTTAACAGCACATACATACACACACACACACACACACACACACACACACACACACACAAACACACACACACACACATAATATGTTAAATGTTGACAGTATAAGCTCAGGTCACTCTCGTATATTTACCGATCAAATGTCATCTATTTAGTTAGTAGAGTGAAAAAAAAGTAGTTTACTTTTTATCTTTTAAAATTTTTTCGTCGATTTTTAGTACCACTTCTTCCAGATCTCGTATTTCATTCACCATAAAACATGTTGTCCTCATTGGAGGAAAGGGAGGAATCCTTTCCTCTATTTTTTTCTCTCAATTTTTCTCATTCATTCATTCACTCAAACAATTTTCTATATATACAGTACTTACTGATATTATATACTAAATGTATAAATACTTTGTATTTAAAAATAAGTCTATTATTTGTTTTTTTCTGTATGTTTTTTATTAGTAAATCAAATGCACATAAGTATAGACTACTAATGTATAGAATAAATGCATCCATTATTATAACGGCTTAAAATGAATAAATAACTATTTTTACGATAATACTAATAATAAAGTTTAAAAGTATTTGTTATTAATTATGATTTTTATATGTTTTTCAGGACAATAAATCTAAAATAAATATCAATTTTAATGGCCATCCACTTGTGTAAAGACAATATAACGGGTGAAGACAACCGATTTGGCTTAACCTTCACAACTACAACAATAAATGCAGACCTTTTTGTGGCATTAATTATCTTTAATAACGGAAAAATTGGCCGAAAATTTATGAAAAAATACATAAGTATTGTGTGTTTGTTGTAAATATATATTTTTTAAACACAAAAATATATGTATAAAAATTATATATATATATAAATATATACAATTAGTTACATGTTATATAGTAATGTTATTACAAAACTTTTTATACTTAACTTTTTACATATTTATATACAGTATATCTTCTTTTTTTTAAAAAAACATAACTGTTTAGCAAAACATTAGAGTAACAAAAAATTATTTTTTTTTCAAAAAAGGAGTGATGAAAGTCTATGAATTAGTAGTTAATAATATGATATAAATGTTTGCGTTAATTAAAGACAAAAATAATATATATAAAAAACTGTGAGCTATAATCCAGACACAGGGGCTACTAATAACCACTACATACATGAATGGCTCAAATAAATAACCAATTTTTTTGGTGTAATTTATTAATAGAGGGGTTTAGCTTATCGTGTAAAAGGAAAAGCATTAATATTTGACTAAAAGAAATAAAGGTTTGATTTGTGAGAGTGTTGTTTGAAATATTGTTTATTAAAAGCTCTGTTGAAATGTTTAGTTGTTATTAAACAAAACAATAACTCATAAAAACATATATAGACATACATAGCATAGCATACATACATAGATACAGACATACCATACCATACCATGACCATTGCATGTCTAAGTTTGTGCGTATATGTCTATGGATGGTGAGCATGTATGTGCCAGCACTTCCCTCCCTGGCCTCGGGGGGCAGTACGGCGTGAGAGAGACAGTGAGAGCGCAATTCCTGATCCCGACTAAGAGAGAGACATATAGAGAGCCACCAATTATTGCAACACCAATACCTATTACCACACTATTAGCTACACTACAGTACACTACCTTACTGTGCCGTCTATCCGTTCAAACCATACATCAAAAATACATTCAAATATATTTAGATATATATATATATAGTATTATAATAGAAGCAAACTTTTCTTTACGGAAGAGGAAATCCTCGACAAAAATATATATACTATTTATATATATATATCTAATAGTCTGTCTAATAAAGTAAAACCTACTAATCATAGCACTTGAATACCATATAATGTTTTGTTACTCAAGAGTCAAACACTACCACCGGAGAGACCTATTCTTCTATGACTTCATTATATCTATAGTATATGTATATAATATTTAATATAAAGTATATACTGTACTGTATATTAAATACATATATATATATTATATTATATTATAGTTGTGCATTAAGTTTTATATATTTTATATTATATTATTAACTTACTGTATAATAATAATTATACAGTATATACACCATTAAAATATATTACAATTGTTGCCCACTTTATGATAATATTGTTATAAAGTTATTTAAATAAAATAAAAACTAAAGCTTTTTACAATGCCTTTCATCGGAAATGCAAAAAACTTTTTTCCTCTCTCTCTCTCTCTCTTCTTAATGTTAGTTCAATTGTAAATTAGTTTTTCATTACAATTTTTATATATATATATATATATAAAAAATATTTTTTAATTATTATATTGTACATAAAAATTAAGACGTTTATTATTATATATATACATCTACTTAAATCTATTATATATATATTTATATATATTTTATTATCATTATATAGTATAAATAAAATTATAACTATATATCTTTATTATATTTATAAATAATAATATTTTTTTAAATGTTATGAATGCAAACCAGTAATTATTATTACATATATTATTATTGTATAAAAAAACATTTTGCTCAGATTTTTTTCAGACACACTAAAATGTGTCTGAAATTGTGTTTTCAATTTTGAAAAACATTTTTAATGTTATATATGTTTTTGATGTAGTTATATATATGTATATATATATTTAAAAAAAGTTAATGAAAAGTCGCCTAAATGTTCCCAATTATATAACTATTACCGTAAATGTTATTTTAAATATATAAAATAAATATATGAATCCATTAAATATGATAAATATAATATAAACTGGAATTCATGTGCCACACAAACTCAATGAAGTTTTTTTAAAAATAAATATTATTATTATTATTTATATCATTGTTTAATCCAATAGTCAATTAAGCAAATAAAAAATATTTTTTATAAATATATATTATTGGCTATATTTTATATAAATTATTTTATAGCATTAAATTTGCAAATTTTTATAAATTATATAAACATTTTAAAACTTTATTATATAAATATAATTATTACATATTTTTATTGTATATTTTTTAAAAAATTAAGAAATTAATTAAATGTTATGTTTGTATTAAACGCTCAAATGATCAAAAAAAATTTAATAAAATAAAAATTTTAAAAAATGAATAAATTGTTTAGCGATTATTTGTAATGACAACTGAATATACAGTATCACTAACTTTCCACTAACACTACATTTCCTTAACTCCCTGTCCCAGACATTGAATAGTGACGCCTAAAAATACCAACGCAAGTGATCCTTATTTATATATATATATATATATATTTTTAAAAAGTAAAACCCAGAATATATTTATGAAACTGTGAATTAGAATTTGAATAACCAATTGATTCAATAATTTTTAAGTATAGGTATTTTCAGTAATTTTTAAAAAACTAAAATCATTTTTTTTATTCAATTGAAAAATGAAGATATGAATACAATTATACATATTTTTTCATATGAATAGCTTTCGGGAGTTTTTTTACATATATATGTATCACAAATATATATATATATATATATATATATATATAAGTAATATATATAAACTAACAGCACCTACTATAATGGACACAAAAATATGTATATTTATAAATAAATAAATTGTATTTATGACTGAATTACAAGTAGTGAACACAAACAACAGCGCAAACATGTTTTTTTCAATTGTAAACTCCAAGAGTCCTATTGCTATAAATTATAAGATAATACCAAAACCTTATAATTTGAAACATAAAAATATTTTTGCGGGTCTTTCCAATAAACAGATACAGTATATATATATATGCAATTTTTTGTTGTTGGTATATTGGGAGCTACCAGTGTTGTGCCACTCAAACAATAGGTGTATAATAACAATAGAGCCGTTGATATCGCATGCAAATCCACTATTATATTACCGTTTCAAACGACGACTTAATACTAAGTTATTGAAAAAAGTCGACAAAAAAAAGTAATTTTTTTTTGGCTAAAATAAATTGAAATTCATTTTCGGGTTTTTTCTCGTTTCACTGAATATACAAATTTTTTCGTTCAATTTATGAAAATTAGGTATTTATTGCTCGTGTCGGTAGAGTGTGGTCAGTGTGTGTGTGTGTGTGTGTGTTTGACCCATAAAATACATTATATTTAAATATTAATATATATATATAATATCGGTATATAAATAAGTTATTAAAGTTTTTTTCTGACTTTTCTCTCTCTATCACACATATGATATATGATAGCATATGATGTGAACATATGGCGAGTATAAAGAATATTATTATATAAATATATAATATATAAATAATTTCTTATATGTTTTTAAAAAATGTATGCTATATTTGTTGGTTTAATTCAACTCAATTGCAAATTCAATTCCGCTAAACAATTATCTCTCACAGATAATTAGTTTAAAGAGACAATTATTTAAAAAAAACAAAACAAAACTATAGCATAACTATTGTCTCAGCAATTAATTGCAATGATTAAAAAAAAATTTCACATTCATGTCTAATGTCATATATGTAAAATATTTCCATATAAAATATAATTTATCTGAATATCTTATATATATTAATGTATACCAATGAAACTGTATAATATACACAGTGCAATTTATATATTAAATATGTGAAATATATATAATATAAATATATAAACAGTACGTATATTTGATGTGTTATAATATTGCTATGAAGTTATTAATGCATTGTTATGTATGGCAAACCTCTATCACTCTCTCAAATCACTCGACATATTAAATATTAGAGTAATATTAAATATATGATATATATTAATAAATATATGTATAAAATATTTGCAACACATATATGAAAATTGATGTAACAATTTCTGTGGGAAACCCTAACAATTGGTTCTCCCATCGCAATCACGATTTATAACTAATATACCGTACAGTTTATTATTAGAAATAATAAATAGGAGATAATGAAACAAAAAAATAATATCAAATTTGCAAATGATGTGAGACATGGCATGTGTAAGGAGTATAACGTATTGGGCGCACAACGATAGGGCAGCAAAATGTATGGGAATGCAATTGTTGTACTGTTAATGTATGAAACAAACAAAAAAGTATAGCAATGGATATACTGAGTGATAATGATTGAAACTGGTAGTAGTAGTAGTAGTAGTAGTAGTAGTAGTGTTGGTAATGGTGTTGGTATTGTATGGATTAGGCAATCGATTTGATCAATTGCCGGAGCTATCGAAGCGTGCCGTCAAAGTGGGCCTAAAAAATTTTTTTAGGCATTGGAAAAGTACTGTACTGTATATCGGAATCCCCTCCACTATTACTACTACTACTACTACCAGACAGAAAGCCCCTTAAAAATTGTGCTCAACTTGTATGACGTTTGGGCGACACGCGGCACGCGCTTAGCACTGAACTAGTATGTACTCTATATGTATGTGTATGTGTATATATTGGTGACCATCTGTTGCTTCTCCCACGCAATACTAGCCCTATTGTATTGTCGCCCAGAGAAAAAAAAACGGGCGAAAGACTTGAATTTCAATGCAAACACTGTTTTGAGTGCCAACACGTGTTTGAATATACAGTGGAAATAACTATAGTATTTTTATCATTCACAAGTTACGGAAAAAGTTTACCCCTCAGAGTAAACCGTGTTATATATAGAGAGAGAAAAAAAGTTTTTACAA